CTTAATACTGCTTATTAAGAGGCCAATAGTGGGAAGAAGGAAATAGTATGGGATAGCAGCCAACTCCCTGTGACCTCTAACCCGAGTCTGACGAACAGTATTTTACTGACCTTGGTTAATTTTCTACCATCAACAGGCAGGTGTCTGGATTGTTTGGTCATAGGTACTAATTTAATATTTTAACAGTATTTACAGTATTTAACAGCCCTGGTGTAGATCTCTTTCAGTAACAGACCTAGTGACAAAGTTTAGCGTTTATGGTAATCCGGACAGTACATATCCATATTTTTATATCTATGTATAAAAACAAAGCTGACACTTGTGAGACTTTACCAGAGGTGTAAGCATCACAGGAGATGCCTCTGTGTAAGTGGGGATAAAACTTAGAAAAACATGAAGGATATTTTCTTGGCCTGGCTTTTTATAGCAGATAACCTTTAAAAATATTCTGCAGTAGGCAAAAGAGAAGAAAACAATGAATCAGCAGATGAACATTACCTGATGCTGAACAAAGCAAAGCAAAGTTACAGAGGTTTTATTAGAGAGCGTTTTGCAATTCGGCATAATTTTAAGAAGTTTAAATTTCTTTATTGAACAGCAGAAATTAGGTTTTCTTGTTGGAGGTCATTTTTGAAAAAAAAAAAAAACCAAAACAAACAAACAGCGGCTGACAGCACTGAACACAACGGTAGACTGGTGCATAATAAGCAAGCGAATAATGCAGAAAACAGAGATATTTCGTGGTAAACTGGTCTCTTGAGTACACTGAGAAAGAGAAAGAGCTGTGCAGGAAGTTTGATTTTATTGTGGTGGAAGCAAAACAGCAAAAGTAAGAGGGAATTCATGACGATGTTTATCAAACGTGAAGCATAGTTTTGATCTTCTTTTGCAGCTGGTTCAGTGAATTGTGGGCAGAGAGTAATGAAACCTCCAGCTTCATAATCTTTCAGATGTCGGTTTTCAGCACCGGCGGCACACACGTGGACATGATCCACGCTTTGTGTTCACTTCTTTTTGTGGAATCCGTTTACCTGCACTTTGTGAACTTTTTATCTAAAAAGGTTCTATATAAATACAATTTTACTTACTTTCTTTTACTTACTCTGTCCCACGTGTGATTTTTCTCTCTGCTAATCTGACTTTTGGGTTCTTTTAAATACTAAATATAAGACATGAGAAAGCTTTACCCACAATACCGCAACAAATAAAGTGTGGCTCCTGAATGCAGCATAAAAATGCAAAAGGACACAATGTAAGCTATAAAGTGAACTCTGTCAGAGAGCAAATGTGTCTCTACACCTTTTTGCGTTTAAAAGCCAAACATTAAAAAACATGAAAGATAAACTCGTCAACGATTTTGTAAAGCTCTAATCATCATATATAGATAAAGTAATCCATATGCATGTAAATAGAAGTAGCTGTGTATAATCGTATCGTTTAGAAACAAAAAGTAGATGCAGCTGTGGTGAAAATTCATTCAGAGACAAAGTAATAATGAACAAATTCCCTTTACCTTTGGATTTGGTGATGACTCCTTCTTGAAGGGATGATCCTACAAAGCTGTATCTGCAGATGCCCTTTAACACACTTCTCAAGACCAAACAAGAATTTCCAAACACAGATTTGTGCCTGACTGCGTGTTTGTGTGTGCGCACGCGTCTGACTGTGTGGGTAGAGTGTGAGCGAATGAATGTGAAAACATGCTGTGCTTTTGACTAATTAGTTTTCAAAGTCCAAAGTCCATATGAAGTGTGTGTGTGTGTGTGTGTGTTTAAGATGTGACAAATTCAAAGACACCCCCACCTCCAATGATATGGGTATCCAGGTCTGGGTCCCCTGGTCCCTTCAGAGTGGTGGGTCACTTTAAATGACTATAATTACCATGTTCTCAGTTATCTCCATTATCCTATGATGAAATACTTCTGACCTGATTGGACTAGTATTCTTCAGGTGATTATGCCTGCATCTGCAAGGTACAAGAGGTCACTAAACTACTCTCATAATTATGAAAATGAAGTCAGTTATATTTTATGGCTTTCACAGTCACATGCACTCAGTCAACATCTATGGGAGATTTTGGACCACCATGTAAGACATTCCTCTCCACTGCCATCATAAACAGTCAGCAGTTCCTGTGAGCATGTGATTTTCCAGTTTTATAACATCTGGCCATGAAGAATATCAGTCTTATCTCAAGGTTTAACCTGCTCACCACCACCCTCTCTTACAGACACACAGACGCACGCACGCGCGCACGCACACACACACACACACACACACACACACACACAAGCTGTTGTGACAGGGCAGCGTGACCTGGGATGACAATGAGAAGATCAAAAGGATGGTAAGTGAGTACTTTTAGTGCTCTCACCATGACAAAGAAAAAGTAAACTTTACAAACACCCTCAAGAGAGTAATTTCTTTGCATGTGCATGAATGTGCTTATACTTGAGGTTAATGCTCTGAACCTACTGATAAGAATGTTCAACTTCAGCAGCATTTACAGAAACCAGCCGTGAACTACGACAAAAATTCTGTTATCTCAGCAGCTTCCTATAGTTTGAAAGAGTGTTTGTGTTATGGGTTGCTTAAAGCTGATATACACTAATCACATAATACACAATACTACTGCTACTACTACTACTAATAATAATATATGGCAGATGCTACTCTTCCAGACAGATACAGTACTGTGCAAAAGTCTTGACTCACCTCTCATTTTACTCACTACTTTTTTTCAGTCACTTTGTTACCAGCAGGATGCCACAAAAATGCATTATTTATTCCCATTTATTCAGTCGAATCTATTTGACTGGGACAAAGTAATATTTTTGCACAAGAAAGATAATTCATCTTTGAGCTATTCGCTGAAAACGTGGCATATATCAGCTTGGTGTGCAAAAAGTCTGAGACAGGACTTGAGAGATTGTTCAATTGATCCATCTACTGTTCATCAAAGCTTCATCAGAAATGTTCTTAGTGGAAGGGTGGCTGTCGAGAAACCATTCTTAAAGAAAAGTAACAGGGAGAAAAGACAAATTACACAAGCACCGGACTGAAAACCAGTGGAAACAGGTCTGATGGAGTGATGAATTCAAATTTGAAATTTTTAGTTTAAATCATCATGCATTTGTACACAAGAGGTCAGGAGAGAGGTAAAACAGTGAGTGTCTAAAGCTATCTGTAAAACATGGTGGAGGCTATGCAAAAGGAAGCCAACATGCCGAGAGAAGCTTTGAATGTCTTCCAAGAAGCCTGGCGAACTATTCCTGAAGTCTACTTAAAGAAAGGACAAGAACACTTGACTAAAAAAGTTCAGGCTTAATCCGTCTGCTAGAGAAGGTGCTTGGTGCTCCTCCCACTAAGTGGTGCAGAGGGTGGTACGCCATGATGGATTACAGCTTGTTCAGTGACCTTCTCTCCACCGCAGCTTCAAATGTGTCCAGTTTGCAGGCATTCAAAGGGCAAACCTTTCTAATCTGTTCTTTTCTAATCTAGTTTGCTGGTGTCACCGACAGTTACTATTGCAGGGCACTGGGTGTGACCAGTTCCTGAGTGATTGAAAGTCTCCATCATTTTACTGTATAGGCTGAGGGATCTCTTTATCCTCCTTTTATATGCAGCTTCTGTGTTGGTCTTCCAGTTTAACCTGTTGTTGATGATGATGATGATGATGACATCCCAGTTCTCCTTCAGCTTGTCAACACCATTTTCAGGATCGACATAAAATGAAATAAAATAAAGACAAATAACATGTTTTATTGCATATACGGATCATTAATATCGCTGTAACACATTTTAATTAAAGCTCGTTAGTGTTTCTACTTTATTTAGAACCTCTCGTGCCACAGACGTGGCTCATGCTCCGAAAAGGGAACCTTTATGGAGAGCCGCCGGAGAAAGGAGGACTCTTTATGGGTGAACACCAGCAGTTTCCGGTAAAATTTGTTTTGAATTTTTGTCGAGCCACTGACAGGGACTCAGACTGTGGATTTCGGGTAAGGTTAAGCACGAAGTTATTTTGTTGCTTGATTACATCACATCATTTTCAATCCACAATATCAGGGGAGTGTTAGATTTTAGAGCCTGTGAGTCTTAAACTGGAGGACTTTTAAATCGACCGTTAATGACGTATTAGCTGTTCCTCTGTCGTTGGTTGTCTTAACGCAAACTCCGGCTTCAGTTTTCTTTCTGTTTTATGGGATTCATTTCTGTTGTGTGACAGAAATGTCCACGCTGTTTCCGTCGTTGCTGCCCCGGATAACGGAGTCTCTGTGGTTTAATCTGGACCGACCGTGTGTGGATGAGACCGAGCTGCACCAGCAAGAGCAGCAGCACCAGACCTGGGTAAAGGCTCCCCAGAGCAATTATAGACTTGTATTTTCCATCTTTATGCTATTTTGTTGCTTCCATTTCACTTACGATGAGTTTATATAGTTTGCGCCTGTTAGTTTATAATTTATTAGTTTGAGTATTTGCGAAAGGCTAAAAGTCATATAGAAGTCATGTAGTCTGCTATAATTACTGGTGGCTCTATTATTTTTCCTTTATCATAATCAAAATAATAAATAAACTTATAAATACATCTTAATCCCAGGAGGAAATCGTTCTAACTTGAACTATAAATATGAAAAACAGAAAGTGTAAACACTATATATAAAAAAGGAGTAAAACTAAGGCACTCAAAGTGCAATGTTTAGTCAAAATTAAATGTTGCAAAGTTAAAACAATACTATACACAGTACGGTGTGAAAGATTGTTCAGTACTTAGCATAACTTGGACAGTATTGTCCTTTCTGAAACCTCAGATCAGTCAAGCTCCACAGCTGCAACATCTCTGGCCATGCATGATCAGTCTATTGATCGTATTATGAGACTTCATACACTTTAATATGTGCAAACTGTCTCTACCGTAGCTGCAGAGCATTGCTGAGAAAGACAACAACCTGATGCCCATTGGAAAACCAATTTTTGAGGTAACGGAAAAAGATTTTTAAACACAAAATAGACACAGTGTGAAACAGACTGGTTACAAACTTTGTTCCCCTCCATTCATGCTGTCTGCATTTACTGGGTGCAGGCAGGCTACGAAGAGGAGGAAGAAGAAGATGACGAAGATGAAGAAGACAGTGAGGAAGACTCAGAAGATGAAGAGGACATGCAGGACATGGATGAGATGAACGACTACAACGAGTCACCTGATGATGGCGAGATCAATGAGGTGCTTTTCTTTATGATTTGAATAATTTTTTTTCCCAGGCGACAATATCACAAACCCAACGGTCATGAGGTGTTTTAATGTTAAGACTTGGAAAAAATACATGTATCTAAATTTAATTCAGTTTCTTTCCATTACCAAAACTGCCTCTAATCTAGCTCGGTTTCTTTCTGTCAGGTGGATATGGAAGGACCAGACCAAGACCAAGACCAGTGGATGATTTAAGACAATACTGGTTTTCATCAGGCTGGCCCTGGGTTTCCACTCCATGCTTAAAATACAACTGCTGCTCTTCAGTCTCTGACATGTTTTTATGTGTGAAATTAGGGAAAGAATAATGCTGAAGAATCACCATAAGATACTTTGAGAAATCAGTGCATTTTTCTAACTTCAATTTAATTACAATTGACAGTGTGTGACGGTGGAAAATACTTTAAACCAATCAAAGTGGCTCCAATTTTGTGGTGCTCTTAAGTATGTGTTGTTTTTGTATCAAGTCAGGAAAACCTTCATGCAGTGGTAGCAGCAGGCCCACTGATCCGTTATGTAAACCTTGAACTTTTGCTATCTACAGTTATGCAGAGCAGCGTCTGCAACCAGCAGACTAAGCATGACCATAACGTCAAGTCAGCAAAATAACTTATTGACCTATGCAAGAGTCATCCAGTTGCTTCACCATATAGTCCTGTTCTGTTTCCCAGCAGTGTTTTGTATGTTACAGAAATACCTTCAGCAGAGCATTCATAAAACCCCAGGACATGTATTCTGATCAGACACTTTTTATATTTTGAACGATGTCGGAAGCAAAAGCTGCTAACAAATATTTAAATATGAGACACAGAGTTCTGTCATGGTTATGTTGTAGAATATTTAACCATGGCATTCTCTACTTCTGCTGAAGTTGTAAATTATTTTAACTGAACCATGTTTCTGTTTTTGTGTATTTGAATTTATTAATAAAATCTAACAAAATGTGACGCGTCACTTGTAGTTCAATAAAAAGTTTGAGAATTTTGGTGGTGGGATGGCCAAGGTTTATATAATTAGACTTTAACTGCAGGAAAGATTTTAAGAATTAATGCTTGCAGTTCAACTGAAGGAAGACAGGTGATTAATATTAACATGTACTTTAATAAAAAATTAATTTTAATTTAGGTTTAATTTGCATTTAGATTAAATTTTGTGAGTCTCTCAAATTTGGGAGTTAGAAAAAAGAAGCCTTAAAGAAAGTTGTTTAATTGAGTCTTTTAAACAAAAGAAATGACATGAGATGCTGAGAAGTCACAACAAAGTCCCAGTAGAATAAAAGGTGATTGGAGCATATGAGATACCTAAACTGGGGATTGTTTATATTTCTCTATATAGAAAGTGTCAGCCTTTTGTTTTAAGATTTAATTTAGCTTTGTTTTGTTTTTGTGGGTAAATGTTGCAGTAAATTATCTCTTGTGAAATCGGTAGGGCACTAGGTCAAACGGGATCTGCAGTAAACCTTGAAGCTCCTTCTTTACCCAGTATGCACTAGTGAGTTATTTTGCAAGGTATTTCTTCACAGGTTGAGCTGTATTGTTACACAGACTAGAAATTGAAACGATACCCCTTTAGATGAAGTAAGAATTTGGACATTTCTGTTTCTGAAGTGTGTGTTTGAGTAACAATATGAAATCCTGCCATGATGTCATGATTTACTTGATTCCCTGGTACACCAGCTCAGCCATCCCATCCCTGATGCCCTTGCTATACTCTAGCGTGGCCCGGTGGATCTTCCATTCATACAGGCCACTCTTGCGAATATATCTAAGGAACTTTGGAGCACCAGGAAACAGCACGTTGTCTGCCAGGATAATAGATCCTTTTCCCAGTAGACCAGAGCCCTCGAGCATCTGTAACACACAGAGACAGCGAGTGAGGCAGCTGGGTGGGTAACAGTAGGAAAGCGCAAACCTTTAAGTCAAAAATATAATATAATATAATATATATACAAATATCCTGTCTAGTAATTTATTCTCATTACTTGCAGGTCAGGGAGGTAACATTTCTTCCAGTGGTCCATGAAGACAAAATCCAGTCTTTCTAAATTGTAGTCAGAGCGAAGCTGAGGGATCACTTCATCAGATGGATTGACAATCAGCTCCACCTGAAGAAAGCACAGCATGATTATCAAAAGTATGAAACTCTCATTGTTTAGTAAAATTAGAGTAATAAGGCCCCAAATGTATCTCGTCTTTCAGACGGCCTGCGGCACATGAAGTGTACTGAACAAAGACCATTTTTT